CAATAAAATCCAATATATTATAAATTTTTAAGTAAATTTCCTTTTTGGCTAGTCAGAAGATGATCATGATTTTGATTTCTGAGTTAACTTGGACTTTTGTAGCTCGAGTTGAATTTAGGAATGATTTAAGCTGTATAAATTAGGGAGAAAATTGTTTAAAAAGTTTTAAGCCCATTCTATAGTCGTCAATTCAGTCCTAAAATTTTTAATCTAGCCAATATAGTTTTAAACCTTTCCACGAGGTTCCAATATAATCCATCCAATCAATTTTGATAAAAAATCGCTAACTCGGTGGTTCAGTCAGAGTTGGCCGACTAACGTGGATCACCGATAGATGTTTCAACCCGCTTTTAACCCATATTCAATAAGTTTGGTCATATATGGGTTAGTCAAGTTTTAATAAATGGATTATTAATGGTTTTAAGTTGAAAGCCTTAAGTTTAAATGAGTTCAAAGATAGATGCATTTACAATCCATTTAGCTTTAAAAGGTTATTAGTTAAATCTTAGAAACATTTTCACGATGTTTCCTAGATAATGCATTTTTCTGTCTGAGCCTAAGCAAACGAAGTATGCCCATGAAACATAAGGCGCAAGTAAATCCAATGTCAATGCGTGTAAGCCCAATTGGCTAATTAGGCTCAACTATGTTATTGTAATTACAAATTTTCTGCGGTTTTTTTAAAGAATAAATGTACTGAAAGTCCAAAAACTTTTCACGAATGCAGTTGAGTCCTAAAACTTTCAAAAATTGCAATCAAATCCTAAAACATGTCGCGAAAGTCCAATTGATACCTAGAACTTTCAAAAAGTATAATCAAGTCCTAAAACTTGTCAAGTTTGTGCAATCAAGTCCTAAAACTTGTTCAGTTGGTGTCATTAAGTCTTCAACTTATTAGCATTTTCCATTTGTCGAGTTAGACGGAATTAACGGAAGGACTTAATTGCACAAACTTGACAAGTTTTAGGACTTGATTGGACTTTTTGGAAAGTTGTAGGACTTAATTGTATTTTCGTATCACCGCCCGCAGCGGCTGCGCTGGCTTCGGGCTCTCTTCCCCTCACGAAGGGAAGGAGTTCGAATCCCAACGCTGTCGTTAGGGATTCTTAAGCGTGACGTCGTGGTGGTGGGTCCTGCACTAGCGTCACCCCGGGTTTACCTCTCCGGCTGTTGGCCGTGCAGGGAGTTCCCGGGTTACCAAAAAAAAAAATTATATTTTCGTGATAAATTTTAAGATTTTCAGTACATTTATTCATTTTTTTTAAATGCCAAACAAATCCACGATGATTAGTCTTACAAAAAGAATGCCCACATTTGTCCTTGAGTTTTATACACATACACACATATAGGCCAAGTGCTCAAAGAATATATTGACTTATACTTGCAAATATCCCCATTTTACTAACGGCCAAAAAATAGCACAAACTTTTACTTGAAGGACAAAAATACCAAACTTTCAATCCATATAAGTTCATCCAGGATTTGACATGGCTAACGGCATCGACGGGTCATTAGGGGTGTTAAAACCAAACACAATACCCGAACCGAAATACGAATCGACCCGACCCGAACACGAAATTTTCTTATTGAGTCGAGTTTGGTGTCAACTTGTTTGGGTAACAATGAAAAGAATTGGGTATTATTTGGATCTATTGGGCTTGGGTACCCAAGCCCAACCCAAACAATAACCAAAATCCTCAAGATCCGTCCTCCTCCCAGTACCTGCCGCCGACTTCTTCTTCCCCGGGTTCCGCCGCGCTAGCGGCGGCAGCAACATCACCCTCAGCAGCGTCGCCGAGATCGACGGCCACGGCGTCCTCAAGCTCACCAACGAGACGACCTGTTTCTACCCTAGCCAGGCGGCGGAGGATTTCATCCTTCTGCCGGAGACCACGCTGCCCGACCAGATCTCGCGGCCGTCGCGCCGCCGCCTCTAGAAATACCGCATCATCCCCGAGTTCTGCACGCGAAATCATCGACCGGCGACAACAACGCCGCCGCCGCCGTCTCTGTCCCTGGGAACTACCACCGCAAGCGGTCCTCGGTTTCCGATAGCGCGATTCCAAGCCGCGAGGTCCAAACCTTCGAGCGTGATGTGGAAGCCGAACCGGTCATTGTTCGGCGGGGAAGAAGGTGGCGGCCAAGATGAGCTCTTGGCTGAAGATTCGAGATGGTGTCTGCAATCTCTCTCCTATGCAGTCGAGTTCGCTCTTTTCCTTCCTTTTTTCGACCGATTCTGCGCATACCCATGTCTTGTTTGATCCTCCTGTTGATGCCGTTCCTGGGTTTTCTCTCTTTTTTTCCGGGGTGGGTGTGGAGCAGAGAGTCTACGCCTTCGCAGCGTGTCTTCTCGTCGGCCTCGTATGTATGTTCCTGGTAAGATCACGCGCGCCATCTCGGTGGGTTCGATTCAAGCTGCTCATCGGCTGCGTGTCGAAATTCTTGTGCTTTTACGGGTGATTTGCGGTTCGGTCGTTTTGCAAGCCTGCTTTCCATTTTGCCACAATGCTTACTGCTTTTCTGCTTTCTGGGTGATTCGCGGTTCGGGGTGAGTGTGGAGCAGAGAGTCTAAGGCTGCGTTTGGTTCAGCATTGGGAAGGGGCTTTTAGCCCCGAAAGCCCCTTCCCAAAAATGCTGAACCAAACGGTTAGCATTGAGCATTGAAAATGCTCAAAACTAGCATTTTCAATCTTTGAAAGCCCAATCTTGATCGGACTAGCTTTGGACTTTCAAACTTTGAACCAAATGCCAAAATCATTTTTATACTTCCCAAACTACCCTCACTCAAATTTCAATATTCAGGCTTTGCCCTCTCGTTCATTGTTCATCTTCTTCACCAAAGGGACTCCGCGAGGGCAAAGGGCGGCGACGGCGAAGGTCCGGCGAGGTCGCCCGACCCGAGCGACGGCCGCCCGGTCAGCGATCGCCGAGCGCGGCCGCTCGGGGTCGGGCGACCGCCCAGTGCGGGCCGCCAGGTCCCGCGACCTCGAGCGACCGTCGCCGAGGTCGCGACCCAGCGGCCGCCGTCGGCCCGGGTCGCGACCAGGCGGCCGTCGGCCTGGGTCGCGCGACCAGCGGCCGTTACTGGGTCGCTGACCCAGGTGCCGTCGGTGGGTCGCACACCTCGGCGGCCGTCGCCTGGGGTCGCGCGACCCAGCGGCCGTCGGCTGGGGTCGCGCGACCCAGGCGGCCGTCGGCTGGGTCGCGCGACCCAGGCGGCCGTCGGCTGGGGTCGCGCGACCCAGCGGGCCAGTCGGCTGGGTCGCGCGACCCGAGCGCCGTCGGCCGAGGTCGCGCGACCTCGGGCCTCGTCGCCCGAGGTCGGCGTCCACTCGCCGGGGTCGCTCGGCTGACGGGCGACGGCCGCCGGCGCCGAGATCCGCTCGCCGGCGGCCGTAGCCCTTCGCCGGAGCCGTAGCCCTTCGCCGGAGGCCGCGAAGGGTATTTTGCCTTTTTAAAAAACCCCCTCAAAGCCCATTTGTAAAAAAAATTAACCAAACACCACTTGGGTCAAAATAGCTTTGCAAATGAGTTTTTACCAAACGCCATTTGCATTTTTCCTAAAGGGCTTCCACCCAAAGGCATTTGCATTCCCAAAGTAGCATTCCAAATGCTGTACCAAACGCACCCTAATTCAGTTTATATGCGAAAGATCACTTTTACCCTCTCTCTGGTGCTTTCCCTGTGACTAGTCCCAATACTCGTTCATCGTCCCAATGGCGTCTCTCTCTATCTCTATCTCTGAATTTATTGTTTGAAATACAAAACCCACCCCGACCCGACCCGACATGACCCGGCCCGATCGTGTAGCTTTATCTTGTTCATGTTTTGTCTCGGGTCGGGTCGAACACATATGTCCAATATTTGGATCGGGTCGGGTATCATGAAAACCCGACCCGACCCATTGACACCCTTACGGGTCATGGTAGACACACAAGCAAGGTGGAATGAGGTAATTTCTTGCGAATTTGGTCTTCTTATTAAAAGAAATTGGCCGTTTTAACAAGAAAAAATAGAGAAAAAAAATCAGTTGTCCAAAATTAAAAGAGCAAGGCTTTTTAACTGAGCTCTTTCTAGCCCAAATCGAAAATTTGTACTTCATAAATAGATGATTTAATTATAAGTATTTTTGTCCCTCAAGTAAACGTCGATGCATTTTTTGGATTGTTTGAAAAGTGGGAATATCGAGTATGAGTTTGTGGAGTATTTTTTGGCATTTGGAAATATATATATATATATATATATATATATATATATATATATATATATATATATATAATTTTAAAAGGACATTCGCTGAGTCTTGGTCAATATTCTACTAGTCCTTTACATTTTTTCAAAATACTGTGAATTCACCAAGAGAAAACCGATGAAGTGACCTAAATATTAGAACCATCTTATTTTTGTTTTTGTTTTTGTCCCTTTTTGATGGGAGAGAAATTGATGTTTTGAATTTAAAATTGATATTCTATAAATAGATTGTGTAAAAATTAAAATAATTAGCAGTACATATATTCATATAAGGACTTAAAACTTTTACAATTTATCTTAGTGGGCTTCTTTAATCCGATGTCTTTTATATTAATACATATATATATACATATATATATTAATAAGGATAAGTGTATTGCAAGTCTTACAACTAGACAAATTGGTCCAATATAGTCTTTTAAGACTCGATTACACTTTCGTGATAAGTTTTGGGACTTTTATACACTTATCCCTATATAGTATATATAAATATATATTTACGAAATTAAATTTCTTCCGATTTCTAATCATCATCCATGAAGGCCCAAACTGGCTAGGCCCATGGACTCGATGCCGACGCCTCAACCGCCAAGCCCACCAACACTAGCCGTAAACGCGGCTCACAGGATAACGGAATGGCGCCACGTTGCGCTCGCGCCACGTGGAACCGCCCCATTGGTCGCCACACCCTCGTTCGGTAGTCTCGACGGCACCGGATTCACCGAGGAGCTAGCCCCCTCCCTTTCTCTGCCATTTCGCTTGTGGCGCACCCCTCCAGTAACTCCCGGAGAAGAAAAACCAAATTTTTCGTGCGCAGAAGAAGAAGAAGAAGAAGAGCGCATGCGCGCAGAGAGCTTCAAATCCAAGCTGCCGCGAATTCGATTCGCTGCTGGGTTCGAATCCTCAAAGCTGCACCGGAGCACCGATCTTCAGCTGATCCGATTCCCGAGGTCCGTCCGTCGGAGGCGTCGATTCCGCATTCATGGAAGCTCCATTGCTCGATCGCTGAGGCGCGGCCCGCCCGCCGGCTGATCGGTGCGAGCCCCGCCGATAATGGCTTCCTGGCTCAAAGCAGCTGAAGGTGCGCATCGGGAATCTCTCTCTGTTGTGTTTTTTGATTCCGCCGTCGGATTCGTCGGTTCGCGTCCATTTTCCCGGCATCGCCGACGTTCGTGACGTCCGATCCGAGGCGCTTTTTTTTTTTTTAAGAGTCGCTCGCGCTTGGATCGAGCGTCGTTTTGGTGCTTTCGGTGTGCTTCGCGGGAGGTGGAGTCTGCTTTTGGTGCTCGGATTGTTCTCTGTTAGAAATTAGTTTTAAGATTGTTCCGTTTGATGATCCACATCGAAATGAGGCTGTCGATATATGTTTGGTTTGGTGGAAGCAGGTGGAGAGTTAGGATTGCCATGAGCTGTGTATTTCGAACTATTTGCGACGTGCTTCGGGGCATTGCCCTTGGATATGCTATTTGATATTGTCCTTACATTAGATTGTCATTCAGGATCGAACAAGACATTTGGAATGTTCCGGCATTAACTGGTAGTGTTCACCGGATCTTTCTTTCAAATTTTCTGACAGAAGAGGATTTTGACTGAAAGAGCTCCCAGCTTAACTTGTAATTTACCAATGAATTTACTGCTGGATGAGATAACATGAGTTTAGCACCTTTTGCGCTGCCCAAAAACATGAGTCGGTGATCCGCTTTTATGTCTTTCATCATCAGAATCTGAAATGTTTACACAAGGTTGCTTTTTTTTTTGACCTCTGTCATGAAATTTTTTGCTAAGTGTGTGACTTCTTGATTTCGAAGGTGCCTCATGATACTAGATGTCACAAGCCTTCCGACACAACAAAAATCTAATCAGAATTCAGAAAGGGGACGCTCATTATAGGCTTGCCAAAAGCTCTTTTTTTCTCACCTAGCTTCACAGTAGAATGTTTGTCACAAATCCTTAGTTGGAAGATCACCATTTACATTTATATCAAGTCATAGAGTCGCACTATCTAATTGTTCTATCCAGGCCTGTATTACAAATAAATGCCCAAGTTCTTTCCATGAAAGTAGACAGGACTTGTTGAAGAAATTGAATTAGGCTCCTTCTCACTATGTATGTGTTTAGAGAATTACCCAATTTGAACTTTTTCTTGCCACTTGCTGAAGGGTGGTAGAGAATCCAAATATAAAAGCATGATATGAAGCCTGACATTCTTTTGAGTGCTTTAAGCTTATTAATAATAACAATGGGATACCGAGAATTGTGAATTTTTTTTGTACAGATTTGTTTGAAGTTGTTGATCGAAGGGCAAAGCTCGTCGTGAATGAATTGGCAGAAGAGCAGAAGAATTCACCAGGTAGATATTACTCGTTTCATTGGATGTATTTTCATACTTCAATATTTAATGGCATGCTCTTAGATTTTAATCCTGTAGCTGTTAAAACGGTGATTGTGGTTGGATGACTGCTATTTGCTTAGAACACATGCATTTCAATTCCTGTGTCTGCAGCCAGCTTCCCTTCCCCATTGAATTAGTTCTTTGCCGGTCACTCATTTTGGTGATACTACAATTTATCAAGAGTTTTCATGAAAGATAAGCTTTAGTAGTTTGGGACTCCTGGTGGGTAGGATTGTCACAGCAGAGGTAGATATTGATTTTCTTTGGACAAAATTTTGAAGTTCAAAATTTCCCTAAATGCTAAGAGAGACCTTGAAGAGTAATGAAGCAAACTGATCACATTTGATATTTTTGAGGCTTTGAAGCTAAATTTCATGTTTGACTAGAATATTTCCTCTTAGTTACCACTCAAGTTGCTAAATTTGGACCGGTAAAGACCTTTCATAGGGATTTTTTCTTGCTGTATATCTGGGAAAACTGTTGTCTTCTACTATTCGAGACTATCACCATAAATTCTATTAGAACATTGAGTAAATACCAAAAGTTTAAGATGCTGCTAGTGTAGGTGATGAACCAGGGCCGGTGCTATAAAATAAGCACTCTCATGGGGTCGTAGTGTGAATCATGAAGGTCCTCTTTGCTACATGTTAAGTTCACGTCTCCAATTAATTATCTACTTTCCTTTTGAAAATCTGAAGCTTCTAATGGGCAAGGATCTCAAGCCAAGAGGACAAAGCAACGGACGAAGGTACTTTGCTCTCTGTCTCTGTTCCTAAAGAACTATCCTTCTATTCAGGAAAAACAACTTAGAGCACATTTTGGTGCATGCTCTTGGCAGGCTGTTAAGCGTCCTTCTACAACTGAATCTCCCAGAGAAATTGATACTGCAGAGGAGCATAGTACTATCCGAAGTCCACAGATAGATGCCAAACCTGACGGAGACACCTCCTCTGGTTTAGTTGAAAATGAGGGCATCCATTTGCATAGGTCACTTACTTCAACAGATGATGAACATTTTAATGACCTCAACAAAGATATACCTGTTGAAGGCAATGCAACGCCTCCAGAGAAGCAGGCAAATGACATGATCAACCATGATCTTCGTAATGATGAAGTTCCAGCAGCTGAACCAATTGTTGAGACTCCTGTGTCAAGTCTAAGCGGTGACGTCGTCAATAAAAATGCACCAGATGCTCGTGAGGAACGATCTGCCTCACCCCCGCTTACTAAAGTAGTTGAGGTTGCTGATGAAGATTTTTCGGTTGATAAACGGAAAAATATTGAAGTGGAAGCTATAAATGCTCCTACAAAAATTGAACAGGAAAGATCTCAATCTGCAATTAATGAAGTTCCCAGTAGCAATGGAGGCGAAATGAAAACTGCTGATGAAATTGTTGTATCTTCACCCAAGAGAGAGAAGGACACAGAGCACAAAGAGCAAGCTTCAATGAAATTACAGGAGCAGCTTGATGAGGCAAGCTAGTTGTAATTCAGCGAGCAGATTTTGCATAATTCCTTAAGTTCTTAATATTTGTGAGTTCTTGTTAAATAGTCCATTTGGTTGCTGTGCAGGCTCAAGGTCTTCTCAAAGCGGCAACTTCCAGTGGTCAGTCTAAAGAGGCCAGGTTAGCTAGGGTAAGTTCTAATCTTAGGATAGTCATCTTAGATTAGACATAGAATGTGGTTGTTATGATATTTCGCTTCTGGAAAGCATATAATTATGTAAGTTGTACTTGCAACTGATATTATTTTCCTTAAGGTTTTATCTACAAAAGAAGAAAGAGTATAGTTCTGATAACATATGACGTTTTTTCTGCAGGGTTGAAATTAGGTTTGTGGACATTTTCTTTTACTGATTTTTTTTGTCAGTTGGCATTCATTTGATGGAATTGTGGAAACTATCATAGACATTTTGCTAATGAGACAGACTTAATTACTGAATCTGTTTGCTTGTGCTGCTCCCAGTAGACCTAGTACAACTATATTATGTTTAACCTCTTAAGTGCACTGAAAAAAGAGGCTTTTGAAACTGTAAATGAGAGATCCTCACTAATTCTGATTACAGACCTCAATTATAATGCGACAGAGCTTTAAATTGAGACACAAGCCCTCTTTTCACTCAAGACCGTTCAAATGGATTTATTCAACAATAAAAACGAGATGGTCCCCAAGTAGCTTCTTGATACACAAGCCATCTTTTCAGTCAAGACTACTTTTTAAGGATTTATTCCACAATAAAATTACTGAGATGGTACCCAAGTTGTAACTTGACGATGCTTACTCAATTGTTCAGGTTTGTGCTGGACTTCAATCCCGTCTTCAGGAATACAAATCGGAAAACCAACAGCTCGAGGAACTTCTTACTTCGGAGGTAAACTTGAAGTTGCTATGGAGCAATTCTTCCTTTAGGTTGCAATGATGTTGAGCAACTAATGTGGATACTTAACTTTATGTCCAACAGAGAGAGCTCAGTAAATCATATGAGGTTCACATAAAGCAGCTCCAGCAAGATTTATCTGCAGCTAAGAATGAAGCCACAAGAGTAGAGTCAAGTATGGCCGAAGCCCTTACGGCAAAAAATTCTGAAATTGAAGCACTTCTCAAGTCAGTAGATTCCCTGAAGACACAACTTGCTTTATCTGAAGGAAATCTGGCTTCACTGCAGGTTCAAGACATCTTTAGCAATTACATACACATGAATTTTGCACAATGTGAAATGATCGGCTTGCAATCTCTCATTTTTTTGCAAAATTTTGGCAATCATCAATAAGGTTTAGTATGTGGTGAAGGAGTATTATGGGCCTGCTGTGGTCATTCTTTTTTTGCTGAAATGTTGTTTGGAGTGCAACATAGCTTTATATTTTTCTTTGCTGCTCCATGGTGTGGCTGCGATTATTTGCATTAAGTGCCTTGTGTTGATTGTGGTCCATCAGTTTGAATCTTAATCTTGGTTCACTGATGCATCAAGTCTTTTATACACTGGAGCATGGCTGACTAAGCAACTGCACTAATTATCTTTCAGTCATTCTCCTCTCTAAGAGGTAGGGATTTTTTGAATTCAAGGGGGAAAATCTTTATGATTTGATGTCAGAGGCAGTATTGTGAAGTCCTGTATCATAAATGCGACTTCCAGTGGGATATTGTAAATGATCTCGAGAAAAGATTGTGTGCAATTAGATTCTGAGATGATACTTTTTACAACGTCCTGTTGCTATTACAGTCCCTGAGGAGGAATATTGGAGAATTAGGTTAAGGCTGAGTGAGAATTTCTAGTAATTTCTTGGTAAAATTTACTTCAACAAATTTCTTTGGCTTTGAATAAACTTTCTCGACTCCACCAGATTTCCTTTTTTTCCTGCAATCATGTAAGGTTCCCTCTGGAAACATTCATGTTTCTCTTAAGAAATGCTGGGTTGATCTGTCTGCCTATAGATTTACATGAGTGCTTATAATACTTAACTTGAATGTAACTGGAGAGATCGTAAAATTTTAGTTAATCAGCTTCTACTTTTCATCTAATTATCTCTGTCAAGTCTAGTAGACTTTTCCTGACAACGTTATTATATTAAAGAGATTGCCTGAGCACAGACACACCAATCCTGCATGTTGATCCTCTACCTTACACTTGCATTAGATAGAATGCTTCTCTCCGAATATTTTGCCTTGGAATCTTCAGCTGTTCCCTATATGTCTTCTCCTGGACTTGTGAATATTATCTGAGACTTTAATTGTTTTTACTCTTTCTCTTACCAGGTGAATATGGACTCTATCATGAGAAATCGAGAATTGACTGAGACGAGGATGATGCAAGTAAGTTGGCCCTCTTGCTTCTCGCCTTTTCTACTTGGAACCGAAAAGTATAATTAGTCATGGGATGTCTTGTGCTGATTGAGAGCATGGGCGAGTTTTTATTGCTTTGATAATTTGATTCCTTGTGCATGCAATTCTTTTATAGGCCCTTCGTGAGGAGCTGGCTTCTGCAGAAAGGAGGGCAGAAGAAGAGCGTGCAGCACATAATGCTAGCAAAAGGGTTTGAACTGGATTTGTTTGCTTTCGTTCTGTCTCTCTTGTTCATTTGTTCAATGGCAGATAACTTTTGTTTATAGGCTGCCATGGAAAGGGAAGTAGAATTAGAACACAGAGCTGTTGAATCATCCACAGCACTTTCAAGAATCCAGGTAATGTGAGCACTCATATTTTTTCCCTTGTCTTGTATATTATCATCTGTGGTGCAATGCTTTGGCAATCTCTAAAATCCCCAGACTCTGGTTTTCTGCCTTGAAATGAGTGTAAAGCGGTGCTAACTTATTGCATGCCATATTTGCTTGATTATTCAGCGGACCATAGATGAGAGAACTGCAAGGATAGCCGAACTTGAGCAGCAAAAGGCACTTCTGGAGGTATGATTAATATTCAACCTGCTTGTTTTCTCTTTCATCATGGACACTTGGCTTGTGTGCGAGTTAAATGCAGCTTTAGCTAACAGTTTATCAGCTTGAATACATTAGGTTGAAAATTCGTCCTTAAATCAAGAATTGCACGATATGGAAGCCCGTATTCGACGTGAACAAAAGAAGTCTCCAGAAGAGACAAATAAACTGATTCAGGTACAAATGTGAGTCTGTGGTAGATTCTTTTGAATTATCTACTCTCTCATGCAAAGACATGTCCTTCGGAAAAATGCAGAACAGGGTCAATTAATGTGCAGTTGGAATGTCTCTTCTTCACTTTAGAAGATATGGTCAATGAGTAATTGCTTCTTGTTTATTAATCTAGGCTTGGCTTTGTCTACTTGCTTAATGCATAAGTTACATCCTGAGGTTTGCTCGTTACTCTATGCCATCAATAGTAGCTTCTCTTGCACATGCACATACAAACCTGGTTATTGCTGGACTTCATGAGGACAATCACTGATGGAACGACTTATTTTCTGTAAAATCCACTGCCTCCTTAAGGTGCACTATTGTGATAGTTTTGCCTATCCTTAAGGGTCCTTGCCTATCCTTTTAGAATGACCTGATCTTCGTTGTGCGATCTCCGGTATAGTTGGTGCTGATTGGAGGCGTATTTCAGAAGTCACTGTGAAAACATAAGTCTACCCAAGTTTTCATGAATAATTTTTGCTGCTAAGGAACATGAATTATCAATAGAGATTGGCTTTGCTATTTTTTCAATACATGCTGTAGACATGAATATATCTAGCCAATTATTCCATTGCAGTTTCTAAGACCATCATGCTTCTTTAAACTTCTGCTCCTGCCATTCTCACCTTGAATGTGGCTGGAGATGAAAATTGCTAGAATTTCTAATGCGTGTAGATTTTGCATGTTGTCATGACTCCAGTACATTCATGTAAACCCTAAATTATGAAGATGCAGGCGTGGCAGGAAGAAGTTGCATCTGCTCGTCAAGGCCAGAGAGATGCAGAGAACAAGGTTTCCACTATGGAGGCAGGTGTTCTTTGCCCTTGCTATTCTAATTGTAAAAGAGAACTGGAGAGACTCCCACTTTCGTTTTCACTGTAATTGGAATATCTAAGATAAATCTTAGAGCTTGGAACTGCAGTAAAATGTACTTGACCATTTTGCACGTGTTATTACTTGATACCATGGCTCCTGGTTTATTTATAGGCTGAATTGCAAAAGATGAAGGTTGAAATGGCTGCCATGAAGAGGGATGCTGAGCACTATTCTCGTCAGGTGACCTTTATTCTAATGTCTGTAGATAATGGTGGCATCCTTCTTCTCTTTTTCATACCTGTGAAATAGAGCTAAAGTTTCACTTAAAGCACTTTTGACGGGGAGGCTATTTGGGTCATGTAATACCTTCATGCAGTGTTCTGTTTCTTGGGTTGGAGACCAAACCATGAAAATTGTAGGAACTGCTAAGCTAACTCTATACATGGCTCATGCCAAGTGTCCGGTGACACTGACTTTATGAGTAGATTAGCATGGCCTTCCAAATTTCTACTTGTACCGCTTGCATGATCAAGTCTGATGTTTCAAGAGTCGGTTGGACAGTATCGTCCAGTGGCTCAGCGTAAGTATATATAGGTGTGGAAGAATGTTAAGATTCAATATCAAAGGAAAAGGTGAATCTATGGCCATATTGGTGAAGTTGTACCTTCTAATTGGCAGTAGGTTCGGGTTGAATGTGGTCTGACACCAAGCATTATATTTGATTCTCTTACTTGAACTGGCATAATTGTAAAAAATAACAATTACTTTGCGAATCTATCCTCAATGTGGTTGATATTGGAAGCAAATGGCAACAGTCCCTGGGATTGAAAGGGAAATTCATTAGACAGATGAGGTCTAAACCATCTCCTTTTCAAAATATGAAATTGATGTGACGTTTTATACATATAGTACTGCAGGTCTCGTTAGATGATAGGTCATACCTTCCTCTCAGTTGACAATAGTTCCACATGTAGTCTGCAGGTCATATTAGATGTTATACCTTCCTTTAATTGTCTCTTAGAACCATCATTCACTTCACCAAATCTTTCCCTAAAGTTATCATCCTGCTAAAGTTCCTTGACAATTTCCGGCTATCTTCTGGATGCTGATTGCTTAATGTTGCCGAGATAAGATGAAATAGCTATTAAAATTTTCCTTCACCAACTTTTCTTGTCTTTGCTTAATTTTTTGATTTTTCCTGAATGTTTTGTTCCATCTTATGTACATAATTTTTGCTGTTGGTGAATAGTTTTTTCTTTGTCTGCTTCTTTCTTGCAGGAGCATATGGAGCTTGAGAAGCGGTATCGTGAGCTCACTGATCTATTGGTAATCTAAACTCTTAGTTTCAAATTGTCTGGTTACCACATACAACTCACATATATGATGACTTGTTCATTGTTATAACAGTATTACAAGCAAACACAACTAGAAGCCATGGCTAGTGAAAAGGCTGCAGCAGAATTTCAATTGGAAAAGGAACTGAAGCGTACTCAAGAAGCACAGGTAGGATATAATGGTTTGTTTCCTTTAATTGATGACAATTACCTGTACTTGGAATCTTCGTAGAACCTATAACATCATTTTGTTTTTTTTTTTTTCGCTTTTGAACTGTTTGACTGACCAGGCAGAAGCAGAAAGAAATAGGGTCTCGCGCAGAGCTTCATCGTCATGGGAAGAGGACTCTGAAATGAAAGCACTGGAGTATGTTGATTCGTCATGTCTTTCTTATGAAGTTGGCAATATGATTCTGGTCATTGTTAGAGAGAGAGAGAGAGAGCCTTACAAAGTGTTAGTCCACTTGGGAACAAGTTTAATTTGACTTGCTCTTAATACTTTAATCTGCAGGCCTCTTCCCTTGTATCACCGTCATATGGTTGGGGCAAGCATACAAGTGATTCCTCTCACTTTCATCCAGCTTTCTTCTTTTTTTGTTTTATTTTTGTTTTGAATTGCGTTAACATGTCCAATGCAGTTGCAAAAGGCAGCTAAATTGTTAGATTCCGGCGCTGCTAGGGCAACTAGATTTCTTTGGAGATATCCAACAGCTCGGTTGCTCCTACTTTTTTACCTGGTAACTAGTTGACTCTAGTACATGGATTCATGATGGGGACAGTTTTGTCGAATAGTTATTCTCATGATAGCTGTTGAAATTTTGCAGGTATTTGTACATCTCTTCTTGATGTATCTTCTGCATCACCTTCAGGTACTACTATGTGGCCATTTCTAATAAGCATGTAGCATTTTTGATTAACTGATTGGATCAGATATTTTCCTGACTCTTTAATCTTCTAATTTAGATGATCAGATGAATGATGAGATAAGAGTTCTGAGTGAGAAACCATGCTAGATTGATCTTAGAATGAGGATGTAGATAAACAAGCCACATCAACTTCCGCATATACTTGATCTGCCCAATCCTGCAACTTTATTGCTTGTTTATTTTGCCTTTTTAACAGGAACAAGTGGACAAATTTTCTGCCAGTGAAGTCGCAGAGTCTATGGGACTTGCCACTCCCACATTACCGTGATTGTCTGGACTTGTCAGCGCAAAAGCTCATGTAGGAAAGGTCCTTAAGCTCGATCTGTCTGCTTTACCCTATACATACTCAGAGTGGCTTGAAAGAAGGCATATATATATAAGAAATAGTCCACCTAGACTCCAGACAACAAGTCAGGTGATCAAGAAGCCCTATTGGAGGAAGCCCTTCACACTCTAACGTAATCATTGGTCCAGCATTCTTTGAAGTCATAGTCATATTCCTTGAAATGCAAATATCGTTTTTTCGGTTGCTCCAGAAATATGAAGCATTTACATTGTTCTGAACTGAACAGGGCCAGGTCCCTAATTCCAGTCATCAAGTTTTTTTTTTGCTAACCCCTTATTTTACTTTGAACTTATTAACGGGTCATGATTCATCTTTGTTTAATCTGCTCTATGTGACTTGACAGTGATATAATGTGTACATATAAGGCAGTTCAAAGATTTTCTTGAGGATGTAGATGAACTTGCTTGTTGAATGGGATGCAAACCTCAAATTGCTAATTTTGACCCATCATCATCATCATATCCTTGGATAAATGTCGCTTCCACTGACTGCATATCTTGTAAGGACAGATGGGTTCCCAATCAATCAGATTTTTAGTTTTGTCCGGCTTCTGCTCTGTTTTTTGGTTGCTGCTGGTGGGCTGGAATGATTTTTTTATGAGTGCTGATGCAAGTGATAATCTCGGCTTTGAACTCGTTTTTGAGCATGCGATCTCTTGAGCTGTGGAAAGGACTGAAGGAGGATCTCAGTTACAGGACTCTGGTAACTTCTTCAGAGGGTTATCGACGTCATCAAATCATGCATTTTATTTATATACAATGTCCGTGTGGATCTAGTCAGTGAAAATGTCTGCTGATAATGGGAATAGAAGTTGGTAAACTATTGTTGGCAATCAAGCGTGCCAAATTTCTCATGATGCTTGGTGATGATTTTCTTAGTTTCCACAAAATGCGGACGATTACCTCGAATATTAGAAACATTGTTGCCATACATCTTGTGTCGACTGAACCACAGGTTCAGTGGCTTCTTTGTAAATGCGGGCCAGCCGATCCCGCCCATTTTCTCAGGGTGGCTCGTTTTGCCCTACGGTGGCAAATGCTACCCGGTTCAAGCACCTTTCTTTTCCTTTCTTTCCTTAATTCAATTAAAGATCCAGATTTCTCCTTAAAAAGATTAATGACATTAGATGACGTGGTCGGATTTGCTGTGAAGTTGTATATGTAGGCTGCCGACGTGTCTTTAAAAGGCGATGCCAAGTCACCCCACTAGGGCTGAGTTGCTTCCTGGTCATCTCTCTCTAGATCTTTAAAAGTTTAGGTGCCGCAGATGACACCTAAACTTTGTTGGTCACAAAATCCCCTTTGTAGCAACCGTTGCAAATTGAGCGCCAGCACCTCTGGCAAATAGGCCATCCCCATCAGAAGGTCCGGCCACCACCATCAGCGTCGGGTGCCACCACCACTAGCCCGAAAAAAAGCACCACCTCAGCAAGCAAAGCCACAGTAGTATCATTGGTAGATTAGGTTTATACTAAAAGGCATAATTGTCATTGTATTGTTTTAGCCCTAAACCCTATGTATATATATTGTAAATTGTTTCATCAATGAAAAAAACGTTTGCCCAAACTCTACATGGTATCAGAGTAGTGATCCTTGAAGCTCGTCTCTCACGTCCCTTAAGCAATATCTGGTCCTCCTCTGATTCAGTTATGATTCGATCAAATTGATTCGCCGGCGTGGTTTGATTTCTCGGTGTCGTCGATGCTTCTGTTTGGCGGTCTGGTTTTGCTTTCTCGTCGAAATTCTCGAGACCTTGTTTGCCAGTGTTGATCTCTAGCTCCCGTCCTTCTACGCGCCATCGCCCTTGCCCCTCACTAGTCACCATGCCCGCTGTTGGCTCGTCCATCATCGCGCATCCACCTCGCTTGCCGCGAACCTATCTGCGATTTGCTGCGTCCTCGCTAAGTCGCCATCATTGCTGCCTTGGTCCTGACGTTCCTCCTCACCGGTCGCCGCAAGTCACCATGGTAGACAATTCTTAAACCTCTTCAGCCATCGCTCCTGCACATGAGCAGCCGAACAACCCTTATTTTATACATCCTTCTGATAACCCTGGATCTAATCTCGTGAGCATGGTCCTTACGGGTGATAATTACAACAATTGATCTCGTGCCATGGAGATTGCCGTTTCTGCCAAGAACAAGATGGTGTTTGTTATTAGAGAAATTAAAAAAACTAGCCGCAGTTGATCTTGCCTATGCATCATGGATTCGTGTTAACAATTTGATTCTATCATGGATTCTTAATTCCATCCATCCAGATTTGGTGCCAATGGTTCTCTACATAGAGTCGGTTGCGGATGTTTGGGCCGATCTCCGCGAACGTTTTTCGCCATTGAATGGTCCTAGGGTTTTTCATCTTGAGCAAAAGATATGCACCCTTGCTCAACATGACGATTTCGTGACCAAGTATTACAACAACTTGCTAGGATGAATTGAATAATTTGGATCCGTTAATGCAATGCTCTTGTTCAGCTCATTCTATCATCACCAAACAACAAGAGAATCGGCGATTATTTCAATTTCTCATCCGAGGTACGCTAATGTTATTAGTCAGATTTTACTAATGGATTCGTTACCTAGTGTTGCACATGCATATGCACTTATGAGTCGCACCGCCATATCCAATTGGATTGCCCACCGTCCAACTAGACTAGCACTTTGCTTAGCACTCATGGCAACCATACTCCACAGCCATACGTGGATTCTTCATCCCACGGACCGCCCGACTCTCTTAGCGCTCCCGCTTCGTCCGCCAACCTAGCTAAACGAACAAACACGTCTCGCGGTCGGGAAAGATGTGCCCACTGTGGCATCCCGGGACATATGGGTAATGGAATTACCGGGGTCTGTTCGGTTGTGGTATGTTTGATTGTTTGACGGAAAGGACAATCTTGTTCATAGAAAATGACATCCACGTGCCGCACCATCATCCACTGAACCCGAAGTTGTGCCTTGGCCATCTTGGCCACGCCGTCCACCCAGATATCTTCGAAACTACCATTGCTCTATTGTGGCCTTCGATCAATCCTCTTCGGACTCTAAGGTAACTGAATTAGGTACTTTTTACCCCTTATCCAACTATTTATCGTACTCGCGTTTTTCACCCACTCACCGCGTTTTTTTAGCCTCCATATCCTTAAAGTAGGAACCTGAAACTTATGACGGTGCGTGTCAATCTCCCAAGTGGCGAAAGGCGATGTCTTTTGAGATTCAGGCCCTTGAACAGATTGACACTTGGGAAATTGTTCCTTTTTCTCCCGACAAACAACCCATTGGATGTAAATGGGTTTACCGAATCAAATATAATTCTGACGGCACCATTGAGCGCTACAAAGCTTGTCTCGTTGCAAAGGGTTACACTCAAACATAGGGGATTGATTATCATGACACCTTTGTATTTGTTGCTAAAATGGTAATCGTTCGCACTTTATTAGCTCTTGCTTCGATTCGTCATTGGCCTCTCTACCAATTAGATGTGAATAACGCTTTTTTGCATGGTGATCTTGACGAAGAGGTCTACATGAGGTTTCCATCGGGTTTTCATACTAAGGGGGAGAATTTAGTCTGTCGGCTTAAGAAATCACTCTATGGCCTTAAATAGGCATTGAGGCAATGGTTTGCTAAATTCTCTTCTGCACTGCTTGATGTTGATTTTCAACAGTCCAAGGCGGACTATTCACTTTTTACATTGGTCCGTGGCACTCTCTTGACCATTGTCCTTGTTTATGTTGATGATTCGGTTATCACGGGTGATGATGAAGTTATGATTCAACTTCTCAAGCGATTCCTTGACACACAATTTCGCATTAAGGACTTGGGTACTCTCAAATACTTCTTGGGCATTGAAGTTTCTCATTCCAAGTCCGGAATTTTCTTGTCACAAAGGAAATACACTCTTGATATTTTGTCTGATGTTGGACTTCTTGGAGGACGTCCTCTTGATACTCCGATGGAACCCAATATACAATTTTTGGATTCCTCCCAAACTCTCAAGGATCCAGGTTCATATCGACGACTTATTGGTATATTATTATATCTTACAGTAACTCGTCCAGATTTACTTTTTGCAGTGCAACATCTTAGTCAATTTATGCACTCTTCTAATGAAGACCATTGGAATGCCGCACTTCGCATTGTGTGGTATCTCAAGCATGATCCCGGCATTGGTTTGTTTTTCCCATCCGATTATACTCTCCAACTTAATGTTTATACAGATTCTGATTGGGCATCTTGTTCTACATCTCGACGATCTGTTTTTGGCTACTGCATGTTTCTTGGTTCTTGTCCCATCTCATGGCGTTCCACGAAACAAACCACTGTTGCCCGTTCCTTAGCAGAAGCTGAATACCGTGCTATAGCGTCTGCCGCTTGCGAAATCACATGGCTTCGCATGCTTCTCTCGGATCTCCACGTCAACACTATCACTGTTGATCTTTTTTGTGATAATAAAGCGGCCATCTACATTGCCACTAATCCCGTCTTCCATGAACGCACCAAACACATTGAGATTGTCTGTCACTTCGTTCTTGAAAAAAATTCAAGATGGCACTTTGCACACTCTTCATATTCCCGGTCACTCCCAATTCGCGGACTTGTTCACGAAACCGGTCAAATGTGATTTATTTTGTACTTTTAAGAACAAGTTGTTGACATGTTTACATTCACCAACTTGGGGAGAGTGTTGATATATTAGGTTTATACTAAAAGGCATAATTGTCATTGTATTGTTTCAGCCCTAAACTCTATGTATATATATTGTAAATTGTTTCATCAATGGAAAAAACGTTTGCCCAAACTCTACAAGTGTAACACCACACTGGTGCTTGCCATCAAACTTAGCTGTCGTCATCACCGATTTCAAGCACCACCACGCCACCACACAAGACCACCACTCCACCACTCTGTCCGTCTATCTCTAAAATATTTGGCACGCCTCGGCCGATTCGTCAATCTCAACCATTTAAAATTCGGGGTAAGGTTGAATAAACCATAGCTAAAATTGAACTTTCGTCCGCGACCGTGCACCCTTTACGATGATGTCGTGACAGTAACTGCGGTGCGCGTCTCGTGCCAAAAGAAACAAAAAAAAAGTGAAATGAAGAGAGATCCCCGCGAAAGTAGCCAAGACAGGGAAGATCGTGCTTTCCCACCGGGGAACGAGAACCGTCCGTACTGACAAAGGTGATGACACGTGTCCACCTTCTTCCTTCCCTTCCTTCTGTCTCTCTCAATCTCTCGAACAGTTTTCCTTTTAGTCCGCCGCGATGATCTCCATCGAAATCACCATCAGCTCACCCCCACCCCCACCACCACCACCTCCTCCACTTCACTTTTAACGAGAAATCCTCAATCCTTATCTCTCTCGAAACAGTTCCCAAATGGCCACGGCTCGAACCTCCGATCCGACAGCGACAGCGACGGCGACAGCGTGTAAGGATATTTTTAGTAAACAGCATATCCCCGTTTCTTGACTTTTGTCCGATTCGGACTTTTTCGCACCGCATCATCATCCGTCGTCATCGGCGTCGCTACTGGATTGGTCGAGAGAGAGCGCGCGCGCGCGCCCCAAGGCCACGCGTCCGAAGCACACTCGTCGCTGACAGACTGGCGATCTAGTTAAAAAGCTGGGAGCGAGAATCTCGGCCTCCGTCGTGGCTTCTCTGGCTTTCTCTCCTTAGTTCGAAGCACACTCGTCGTTTGACCTTCGAGCTTCGAAGAAGTAAGGAGGAGGAGGAGCAGCAGCAGGAGGCGGCGGAGAGAGGCTTTCGCGGCGGAGATGGAGAGCGCGACGAAGGGCGCGAGGGACGGAGCGAGCGTGCTGGACACCAAGGCCGCCGTCGGAGGCGGCGTCGAGGACGCGTACGGCGAGGATCGCGCCACCGAGGACCAGCTCGTCACTCCCTGGACCTTATCCGTCGCCAGGTCAGCTCCTCCTCGACACCGATGATGACGATGATGATGATCTTCGACCTGTTTGGATTCTGTAAGCTTTGGCTGTAGCGTCTGGCTTTAGATTTGCATGAGCTTCGGTTTCTGTTGCTCAGTTTCAGGAGTTCGATTTGATCGGTCTTTTCAGCTGCGTGTTCTGCTTTTGGTTTGATCTTGTTATTCGATAGTTCCGATCCAAAGCCACGCCGGCACTGGTCCGACACAGTCGCTCCGTCAAGTCAACGTAGCATCTCCGATTACGTTGACGCCGGACATGGACGTCCTGAGTTTTAGGTGGTGTAGTCATTCCTGAGATATCGATGCAATCCTAGGACATGGACATGGTCGGTCGATATGCAATTGACTAAGACGATTTCAGGGCCGGATCCTTTTCCCCGTAGATCGTAAGGATCTTCGCGTGGAGTCGTCTGTGTTCCCTCTCTCTGCATGTGCGTATCGTCATTACGTAGATATATCTAATGTAGAAGTTTATTTTTGCCTATGAGTACACAAGCATATACACAAAATAAGTACTGTGCAGTTCTTCATGTTATTGTTGTATACGAATGCGACAGTTTACCTTGTGTCAAACAAAGATAATTCATCACAAAGTGTTGATTTGTTACCTCCAATATCATGACGATTGCCATGGTCAGAGCAAAATATCTGAAGATGGATGGTTACAGCTTTTATACGGAAAATCAACCGTTCAAGATTATAAGATTTCTGATCGCTTCCCTTGTTTACCCTCCACAATTTCCCGATCTGACTGCTGCTTTCTGTGGACATCTGATGCAGTGGGTACTCTTTATTGAGAGATCCTCGCCATAACAAGGGGCTCGCTTTCACTGAGAAAGAGAGAGATGCCCACTACTTGTGTGGCCTGTTGCCTCCTACTGTTGTGTCTCAGCAAGTTCAGGTTGGATAAGTGCAGTATCCTGAGTCTCCATCCTATTTCTGCACGCCTGAACTCCATGATTTTGTATAATTGGTCTGACTATTCTGTTTGTCATGAATTTGTAATAATAGGAGAAGAAACTGATGAAAAATCTTCGGCAATATCAAGTTCCATTGCAGAAGTATATGGCCCTGATGGACCTGGAGGTATAAGTTTTGCAAACAATCATATTTGTTGTCGGGATCTACAGTTGTTCATTTGGTTCATTGTAGCAAAGTCAAAGTGATGTGTTGAGTTTACTTCAATCATCTTAAGGAAGAAATATGACAACAAATGACGAATTGTGCTCGTAGAAGATCAAGACAAGAATGATTTTCTTGCCTATATATATATTTTTTGGCTTTCAAATGCATCTGTTCATTATCTACAGGAGAGAAATGAACGGCTTTTCTACAAGCTTCTTATTGATAATGTCGAGGAGTTGCTTCCAATTGTCTATACTCCAACCGTCGGTGAGGCTTGCCAAAAATATGGAAGTATCTTCCGGCGACCTCAGGGTTTATTTATAAGCTTAAAAGAGAAGTATGCACTGTTTCTTTGAGCTGTGACTTTCCCCAAGTAAATGTAACCATGTCAACCTATGAAATCTTGTTGGCTTTTTTCCAGGGGTAAAATTTTGGAAGTGTTGAAGAACTGGCCAGAGCGGAGTATCCAAGTGATAGTCGTGACTGATGGAGAGAGGATCTTAGGACTTGGTGATCTCGGATGCCAGGTGATTTTAAGCTCTTTTAGTTTTAAGGGACATGAAGATGTAGACATTACATTGTATGTGTGACAAGCTGTGGTACCTGACAAAATAGTACTTTTCTAGGGTATGGGCATCCCTGTTGGGAAATTATCGCTGTACACAGCTCTTGGAGGAGTTCGTCCTTCAGCAGTAAGTAATTTTAAATGGTGTATTCTTGCTGACGTTTGTTATTTTCTTCCAAATTGCATTTCCAAAAGTTCTTTTAAAATCAGAACATTGCCACATTCTACAAATTGAAGGTTTGGAATGAGGCATCTGTTTGTAGCTACAGATGCATGCATTATAAGACTCTGATCTTATTTTTACTTGTTTTCTAGTGCTTGCCGATAACAATAGATGTGGGAACAAACAATGAGCAGTTGTTACAGAATGAGTTTTACATTGGCCTCAGACAGAAAAGAGCCACTGGACAGGTTCCTTTACTTCTCATTTTTGTTAATCCTGTTATGTATTCCACTTAATTGATGTAGGTTTTGCAAATTTGCAGGAATATGCTGATTTTCTTAATGAGTTTATGAGTGCTGTCAAGCAGAACTATGGAGAAAAAGTCCTTGTGCAGGTCAGGCGTTCACATTCTCAAGCCCATGGATTTCTCAGAGCTGTTTCATATTTTATTCGGTGCAGATTCATTGTTTCCTGAAATCTGCAGTTTGAGGATTTTGCAAACCACAATGCCTTTGAACTGCTTACAAAATATCGCGCAACTCATCTCGTCTTCAATGATGATATACAGGTATCTTTTTTAAGTACTCTCAATGGCGGCATGCAGATGTATTCCTCAGCACTTAGCTGTTTCCTTATTTTTTTGGCAGGGAACGGCAGCTGTTGTTCTCGCAGGAGTTGTTGCTGCACTGAAATTACTAGGCGGCACCCTGGCAGATCACACTTTCTTGTTCCTCGGTGCTGGGGAGGCGAGTTAATTTTCATTTGCCACTTCCTCTTTCTTAGCATCGTATCAGGAGATGGACCCAAACTTGCATTTTCATTTTGACATGGAGTATCTTATTGAAACATGATGAATTTCCTTGCTTATTATGCTCTTTCTTGTCTCCCTCTTTTCATCTTTAGGTAAAGTTTAGGCTTCATTTTGATTATGCGCCTGGGATGTTCATATTGGCTGTTCTTAACATTGCTTCTTTGCTTAACTCAAAAGTGGTTGGCCAATGCAGGCTGGAACGGGCATAGCTGAGCTTATAGCTCTTGAGATGTCAAAGCAGGTAATTGACTGATGGATTTGTGCAGACTAGTGTTCTCCTAATTGTGCAAAGTTGGACTTTACTTTTTCCCTTTTAGTAGCTTTTATTGATACATTGTAGGTGAAAGCTCCTGTGGAGGAGACTCGTAAGAAGATCTGGCTGGTCGACTCTAAGGTAGCATTCAGTTTGATATGACTTGGCTGTTTGATGGTGAAGTTCGGAATGAAAACAACTTTGACATCAATCTTGATGAAATGTTCTTGCAGGGGTTGATTGTTGGTTCTAGGAAAGAATCGCTTCAACACTTTAAGAAGCCATGGGCTCATGAACACGAACCTGTCAAGGATCTCTTAGGTGCTGTCAAGGTGTGTTAAATTAATCCGCATCCCGTTTCTAAACGTCCATGGATTTTGATGCTTTCTTACGCAAGCCACTAACTATGCATACTTAATTACTTCCTCAGGCAATCAAGCCGACAATTCTGATTGGATCCTCTGGAGTAGGAAAGACATTTACGAAGGAGGTCATTGAGACACTGTGCTCCTTTAACGAGGTAAACTTTTTTCTTTTTTCGCTTTCAATCGCAGGTAAGTTTTATGTCCAAAGAACATCCGTCAGTAGATTTGACGTGGCATGCTGACCTTGAGTTTGGCGTGTACAATAACAACTCTCACATCTCTGCAATGTAATTTGATCCAGAAACCTCTTATCTTGGCTTTATCCAACCCAACATCGCAATCTGAGTGTACTGCTGAAGAAGCTTATACCTGGAGTAAGGTACTTTGGCATTTCGAATATCTATCCTCCACGACTTGATGAAGCTGTCCGCTCCAGATAAGCGGTTATGTATTCCCAATTCTACCACATTCCTACTTAACGCTGTTCTGGAGTTGTAGGGTCGTGCGATGTTTGCCAGTGGAAGTCCTTTCGATCCAGTGGAGTTGGAGGGCAAAGTCTTTGTTCCTGGCCAGGTTATCCTCGTCTTCTATAGTGGCTTTCACAAGTTTTACTTTTCGGCATGTCAAGCCAAATAGTCAGTTATCCGAGACTTAGATCTGGTTACATCTGTCAATTTAGGCCAACAATGCTTACATTTTCCCTGGATTTGGTCTCGGTGTGGTCATGTGTGGGGCGATTCGAGTCCATGATGAAATGCTTCTGGCAGCCTGTAAGTGCATTGTCGCTGCGTAATTATAAGTGCAAGTTACCTGCCATGGTAGCACATTCTCTAGCTCAACCCCTCACTGTCTGTCTACAATACAGCGGAAGCGTTGGCCGGGCAAGTGACGCAGGAGAACTTTGAGAAGGGACTGATTTACCCGCCGTTCTCCAATATTAGGAAAATCTCCGCCAACATAGCTGCGAAAGTCGCTGCCAAGGCATATGAACTCGGTGAGCCTTGCATGTTCACCTTCTACTTCCTCTCTAGATGCGCGATTCGACATGCTATCTTGCTTACTGTTCTCGTTCGACAGGCTTGGCATCGCATCTTCCTCGCCCCGAGAATCTCGTCAAGTATGCCGAGAGCTGCATGTACAGCCCAGTGTACCGAAACTATCGCTAGAGTAAATTGGACGTCTGCTACCGGTATGTAGTTACGTGAGCCTCGTTCTCGAAGTGCTTGTAACAATAAATCTGTCACGAGCTAGCTATTCACCCCACTTTCGTTATGCTAAGTCTTGTGGAGTTTTTTTGTATATCCAGGTTATAAATGCCTTATGTTATCATGGACACCGCATCTTTCTAAGTACGAGTGCTTCCGTTTTGGAGCAGTTCTGTTCATCCATCTCAAAGGTTTTCCCTTCGCCCCTCCCCCTGTCCCGGGGTTCGAACCCCGTCATTGCGCTTCCAAGGGAAGTTCTTTGTTGAACGCCTGTTCCTAGTCAAACAACCTGACAAGCGTTGACTCTATATTCGACTTGGGCCTGAACATTATTTTTCTGTAGTTTGCGCTCAGACCGTGACGAAATTCGTGGGCGGGACTCTTGCTTCTCTCAACTCGATCGACTTTGACTTAGGTGTTCAAGAAACTCTACCTAAATTAATCCTTCTCCGAGTTGCGGTGAACTCCTGGAGTCTGAATAGAACCGTCTCTGAATGGTACTGCTTCTTTATCGGCAATGTCGAGATCTCTACAAGCAAAAGCCACGAGTCGTATTTTGCATTGTCAAAAACAAAGGGCGAAAATTACCTGGCTATGGCATGCGTAAATTGCCTTGGTTTGGTTGTGTTGACACCAAAATAAGAATCGGCATAGACGCTGAGTCGGCTTCAATGCCGAATCTGATGTAGAATGGAAATCAATCATCTTCCGAAATACGTTTGGATAAGATTCGGAAACATGCTGGGAAGCAAGCGTGAATGGCATCATATCCCGAATTCGGTAGTTGATGAATATCGGTATGTTTACCGAAACATGGAAAGTCATAGTTCGGAAATATAAAGAGCGTTGGAACGTTTATGCCTCGGGACGTTGACTCTTTCCGAAATTCGGGAAGTTTACACTTCGGGAATATACCGAAATTATAGAGAATCGGTAAAGATGAATCACAGCCCAGCCACGAAAATCACGATAGCAGGAAGTTATGAGCAAAAGGCGGAAATAGTGAGCACGAGCATATTGTGGGGAGTTACTTGTCCAAATTTGAAGTCGTCCCAGCGGTTGAGATCAAGTTTTGGAGGACAATAAAACTGGAAAAACGTGGTTAGAAAAGGCAGTTATTGGAAGAGTCAAAATTCAAAGTTTGAAAACATATAAGTAACTGACAAGCAGTTGCAGGATATGAAGAGATACAAATATTCAGAAGAAAGAAGGAAGGGAAATCACCAACAACAATGCAAAAACACTCAAGACTATCTGCACTTTAGTTTCTTCCGTACCTTTACTTCCTGCATTTACAGCTTTCTGCAATAGTAGTTAGCCTTCAAGTTCTTTACAGCTTTCATAGGAGTATTGTAACTTAGCTTGGAACTCTGCTAATCTCAGATCCATTTTCAATCCATTCGAATTATATCCGTTCCATATAACCTTGTGCCCACTTTGTTTCCTTCTTTGCCACAACTCTCCTAGAAATCAAGCCACATAACCTATCTTAATAAAAATCGAAAATCAAAGTTTCGGTGAAAGATATTCCTCGTCTCAAAACGAGCGAACATCTTTTTGGTACGCCTGGTGGGACCCGGGTGGTAAGATTTGGAGAAATGGTGAGAACTAGGCAATCTGAAGGAATACCGGTCGGTAACGTCAACAATCCAGTTGATGAAGCACATTCTGAACACTCTGCGGCTAATCAAGTAGAGGAGAATGTAACTGAAGAACAAGCCCGCGCGTTGGCACCAGATAACACCTTGGTAGCCACGATGAAAAGGATGTTTGAGGAACAGCAGAACGACCTTACCAATCATATAGTGCGACATGTGACTGATGTGATAAAGCCCATGGTGATCAATGCTATAAATGAGGTAATATCGCGTCCCGGTTCATCTTCTCAAGTTCCATCCTTTTATGCAAATCTTCTTGGGACAACATCGTTCCCACCAACATCGGGACCTCCTTATGTTGGATATAATGGTAATGGGGGATCAAATTCTCAACCTCCTGTTAAAATTATACCAAGGCCAGAGAATCCTACCCCTATAAACCTTATGAATGGTGTTAGTGCTTATAATTTCCCTCAAAATGCCCCAAATGATGTTAATTTGGTTAATCCCATGGTCACAAATGCACCACCAGTGCTGAACGTGCCTCCACCAATAAATATGCCTAATGCTGACCATATCAGACCACCTGCGCCTCAACCATATCCTCATATGATAGAAAATCATCTTTATAGGCCACCACTACCCGTTAATTTCAACATGGAGCAGCAGGGGGTGAATAGACCTCAGCAGTTTGATCCTATGGGTCAAGATCCTTGATTAGGCCAGCAGAATTTAAGACCATGGAACTCAGATAGAGTGGTAGAATTGGTAATGCAACAATTGGGAGCAGAGAGGGGATTGCCAAGGCCAGTATATAGGAAGCCACATCCCGATTGGGTTGATAACATACCATATCTAAGGGGTTTCAAGATGCCAGACTTTGCTTTATTTATAGGAGAGGAGGATCAGTCAACTGTGGAGCATGTGGGTCGATTCTTGGCACAATATGGAGAAGCTGGAACTAATGAGTATTTAAGGTTAAGGTTGTTCCCATTGTCTTTGTCAAAATCAGCATTCACTCGGTATACAAATTTGCCTGCGAATTCTATTCAAACATGGGTCGAGATGGAAAGGTAGTTTCATTCTCAATTTTACCGAACGGTATCAGAGGTAACAGTAGCCGATTTGGCCAGGATGTATCAATATAGTACCGAGACAGTAGATCAGTTTATTGCACGTTTCAAGAAATCTAGGAACCGATGTTTAACATCACTCACTGAGAAGGAGTTTACAGATTTGGCTTTTAACGGCTTGAGGTTTAACCTTAAGGAAAGATTTGAAGGACAAGCCTTTGACGATCTCTTTCAGTTAAACGCTCAGGTTTCCAAGTACGAACACTTGTTGAAGGAGAAAGATAAGAAGCCGAATAAGGACAATCGGCAGATAGTGGCATTTGCTGAAAGCACCGAACATGCTGGTACAGCCGAAGAGAAGAATAAAATAGCCGTAGCAACTATGGTGCTTGAAAAACCGTATGTATGCACAGCACTTAAACCGGCCAGGGTGAGAGATGTATCCAAGTTCAAGGCTAAGGAGACAAATAACTACTCCTTTGATATCTACATGTTAGATGAAATATTTGACCTGCTGTTGAAAGATGGAATGATCAAATTATCTGAAGGACAAGTAATCCCGTCAAAGGAAGAAATAACATATAAGAGATATTGCAAATGGCATCACTCTACAACTCATGATACGGTGAATTGCATTGTGTTTAGGAAGACTATCCAAGAGGCGATTCACCAAGGCAAGATTAAATTTTCCGAAGACAAAGGCAAGGCCCCAATAGAAGTAGACACAGACCCTTTCCTGAACATGATCAGCATGGTTAATATACGAGAGACGACAGACGATGACAACAAACAATTTTGCACTCGTTGTCACCAAGAGCTGACTCGGCAAGATCGGGAGTTTCCCAGGTTCCAATACATGAGAGGAACGAGGGGGAGATACAGATCGGGATCGTTTGTCCGCAGGATAGGTAGACCACAGGTAAAATTTGAGATTGTAGCTACCGAAAACTCTTCGGTACAAGCAAGAGAGGAGAAAATTCACCCAAGACAGACAGCACAAGCGCTTGAAAGAAAAGATGTTGGTCATAGGTGTGAGAGGAAGGAATACCACCTCGATTCATCTCAACTAGCCCCTCCAATTCGGGAATTGGTTACGCAAGTTCATGAGGAAAATGAAACATTACCAAAGCCTGCAAAGAAAAAGAGTTTATGGCAGCGATATAAGGAAGGTGATCCCAAAGTCGGATTACTTAGAGAACCTAGTGGGAAATTTGAATATGTGGTCTATTATGGAGATACGGATGATTATCCACCTCCATCATTGCCTGTCGAGCCGACTGGCTGGGGAGATGAATTTGATGATCCACCACCATCAATTTCTCAAGAAATCCACAAAAGAAAAACAGTTAAGGTGCCGTATGACCCTCCCGAAGGAAAATGGTCAACAGTTAAAGCGCCGGGATAGGCATCTTACAGAACCATCAAGAGGCGTTTTCAGCGAATGAGAAACAGACAAAGGAATTTTGAGAGTGGTCGAGCTAAAGGTACAACAAGGCAAAATTTACCTTTCACATCTATCAGTAGGAAAGGTAATTGGGTCTGGAAAAGAAACCCTGATGAAAAAGATCGGATTAAACCAGAACTAGGTGATTCGGGAAGTAGCTTTCACATTGAAATGAAAAATGGAGTTTCTCAGGGTCCACAGACAATTAATTTTGAGTAGATCAACGTAGCTCTCAACCCAAAACAACAAAGAAAAGTAGAGCAAAAGAACTTGGATTCTAAATTGTTACAAGAAGATGGCAGAAGTTACCGAATTGGCTACTCCAAGATATAAAAGAAATATGGTTCCCCAATACGGATAAACATGGTCCATGCTAAGCTTCCAGTGAAATATGGAACTAATCTGATAGTGGAAGAAGCCATCGAACATATTTCAGAAAAGGAGATAGCTATGGCAGAATTTCAGTTCCCCGACAAAGAAGCCATCAAGCTTGATAAGGTACCTTCTGAAAAAGCAAAGCATTTAAGGTCTTTGGTTGTTTCAGGCAGGGTCAATGGTAGGTCTGTTGGTAAAATCTTTGTAGATGCTGGAGCTACTTTGAACCTCATATCTTACAAATACTTCAAGAAATTAGGGAAAGATGACGACGACATTATCCTATCCAATGTTCAGTTATCTGATTTTCTTGGGGAAGTTACCGAAATCAAGGGGGCAATAGTGCTTGATTTAACTATAGGGTTCAAGTCGTCCAAAACGACTTTCTTTGTAGTAGAGTCGATGGTTCATATAATCATTGTTGCTCGGAAGAGATTGGATACACTCTAATCAGTGTGTACCTTCAACTTTGCATCAAATCTTGGCATTTTGGAATGACGAGAAAGTGGAATATGTTGAGGCAGATTCGGGATATGCTTCAATCAGGTGGACTGACATTTGTCAAGAATATCAAGACTGTCCACATGATGGCTATGCTGTTGAA